ACGCTTTCGCAAATTTTTCGCAAACGCAAGCGGCCGTACCTGGGCCCATAACCTGTTGAGGTTTTAATACCTTTATCAATTTTTATTTAAGAATATTACAACAAAAAATGATTCTATTGATATCGCGCAATTCGCCTTATGCTGGGCTCGCGATCATGTCCCTTTCAGAGCGCATACAAGGAAGGAAAATAAAATGCGGTTTGGCAAATTGCCACAATATTAGAAAGCAAAAAAAAATATCTCTTAAGTTGATGCTACAATAAACAAATCAAATATTATCTTATAATTAACCGATAGATCTAGAGATACTTAGCTCTCTCACACGCTCACTCGCTCGTCACGCAGAACCACGTCCGCACGCACACATGGTCCACAACAGAGAGAGTGATAAGCCGACGATTACCCTTCAATAAACCTCAAACTCATCACTGCCACCTGTCTGATTTCCTGTATTTTACTTCGCGCGAATTACAAACGAACGATATCTGTGTGACACATCCTACTTTCTATATTATACTTGCACACAAATTATTTATTAACAGATTCGACAAATGATTTGTCGAATCGATGTCGAATCAATGTTGAATTGATGTAGATTCGACTAACATTTCTCACTGGGTTTGATACGACCGAAAACGTAAAAGCGGCTGTAACCGACCAGCTGAAGGCCATTCGGGTTTCTGAGTTCCAGCACTGCTATAAAGACTGGAAACAACGTCTCAGGCGCTGCGTGGCTTCCCAACGGAACTATTTTGAAGGAGACAGAATTAAATTATAGTTAAATTATAAATATATAAAAGTTCATCTCGAAAAAGTCTCATTACTTTATTTACAGACCTTGTATAATGATATATATATATATATATATATATATATATATATATATATATATATACAGGGTTGGGCAAAAGTCCGGAAACGGTCAAATATCTCGAAAAGGATCAACTATAGCGAAAAATTGTAAATAGCAAAGTTGTAGGGCTTAAAAAAATGTACCTAATGATGACTAAAAATTTTACTTTGAGTGGAGGACGAAGATCATATAAAAGTCAAATTGAATTTTTTAAATGGAACTGCCTACTTTTTATTGCATATTCTTATAGCTGACCTCGAGAGCTTTCTAAAACACTATAATAAAATATTTTTCCCTCAAGCATTTATCGAGTTATGAGGCTTCAAATCATTTCTTAATTTTACATAAACCGTAAAATATCTTGTAAAATATTCACTTTTCGATTATTTTACCTTAATACTTTTATGTACAAAATAATGAGAGGAATCAATTGGTCTAAAAAAAAACACATAATTGTTCCGAAGAAAAAATATGTAATTGTTAATTGCAAATTACATATTTTTTCTTCGGAACAATTATGTGTTTTTTTTTAGACCAATTGATTCCTCTCATTATTTTGTACATAAAAGTATTAAGGTAAAATAATCGAAAAGTGAATATTTTACAAGATATTTTACGGTTTATGTAAAATTAAGAAATGATTTGAAGCCTCATAACTCGATAAATGCTTGAGGGAAAAATATTTTATTATAGTGTTTTGGAAAGCTCTCGAGGTCAGCTATAAGAATATGCAATAAAAAGTAGGCAGTTCCATTTAAAAAATTCAATTTGACTTTTATATGATCTTCGTCCTCCACTCAAAGTAAAATTTTTAGTCATCATTAGGTACATTTTTTTAAGCCCTACAACTTTGCTATTTACAATTTTTCGCTATAGTTGATCCTTTTCGAGATATTTGACCGTTTCCGGACTTTTGCCCAACCCTGTATACCTATACAGGATGTATCAGAGCGACCGTATCAGGCTGGTATTTCGAAAAATACGCATTTACTTGAAAAATGTTCCGAACAAAAGTTGTAGGACTTTAAGGGGCGCATTACATAGCATGATTAGTGTGACCTTGGATAGTGTTGTTAAGGACACGGAAAAATCAATTAAAAGTTTTTAAATGGAAACCCCTATTTTTGATTGTATATTCTTATAGCTGACCTCGAGAGCTTTCCAAAATACTATAATAAAGTATTTTTTCATTGAGTACTTTTCGAGTTATGAGGCTTGAAATAATTTTTCAATTTTACATAAACCATAAAATATCTAGTAAAATATTATTATCTTACCTTCATACTTTTATATACAAAATAATGAAAGGAATCAATTGGTGTAAAGAAAACATACAGTTGTTTTTAAGAAAAAATATGGAATTGTTAATTGCAAATTACATATTTTTTCTTAGAAACAACTATGTGTTTTTTTTACACCAATTGATTCCTCTCATTATTTTGTACATAAAAGTATGAAGGTAAGATAATCGAAAAATGAATGGTTTACTAGATATTTTATGGTTTATGTAAAATTAAGAAATTATTTCAAGCCTTATAACTCAAAAAGTACTTAATGAAAAGGTACTTAATTATAGTGTTTTGGAAAGCTCTCAAGATAAGCTACAAGAATATGCAATGAAAAATAGGGGGTTCCGTTTAAGAATTTGAAGGTAACCTTTATGTGACCCTCAAATGATTATCCAAGGTCAAATTTTTGCCACCCATCTTCTGTCCCTCTCGAAGTCAAGCAACTTTTATTTGAAACATTTTGTTGTACATTCAAATATAAAAAAGTTATTGGAGTGGATCACTTAAAGTGGCCCACCCTGTATATGTATATATGTATATATGTATATATGTACATATATACTTTTTTTTAATATAATATCTCTTAGCAAATTAGACTAAAAAAAGAAGTAATATAATTCTCAAAAATTTACCTTTTTAAAAAAAAGTAAAAAAAGGGCGCCAACTTCATGCACTAATTGTATTCAACTGGCATATTGTCTACAAAAGTAGTGATATAAAAAAATTGCGCCAACTAAAAATAAAAATTTGTACAAGATAAATAGAAATACAAGGAACAAAACTTGTACAAGTTAAATAGAAATATTTTAATTGAAAACATTGTTATACAAAATAGTTGTTTTAATTTTCGAAAATAATAATATTAAAAAATTAAAAATTTATTTAAAAATTGAAAACTGTAAATTAATATAAAACGAGAAAATAAAAAAAATTTTAATTAAAAAAACTTAGCACTGCTAATAAAATTAACATATATTCCAATTAAATATATATTTAACAGCAAATATAATTGCTGGACATTTATTATTAATTCTCTTAAGATCTTCAATTAATAACTTAATTATTATAATTTTTATATTATTTTCACAAGTTGTACTTTTTACTTTAGAAATTTCTATGAGATTTATTCAAGCTTATGTTTTTTCTATTTTATCAACTTTATATATATAGTATGGAAATCTAACAGATTGGAACATATTTCAATTATTAGTCTAACATTTAAATTTAATGATCTAATTTATTTAATTAATTTATATTGATTTACATTTGGAAATTTAGACTTTTAAGCTGAACAATATATTAATAAAATTAGGAACGCCAAGTTTTTTTAATTAAATTTTTTATACTTTCCTGTTTTATATTAATTTCCAGTTTTCAATTTTTAAACTAAATCGAAAGGAATTAGGCTCGTCCTATATTAAATAACATGATAAGAAAACTAGCGTCTACGAGCCACAGCGGATGGTAAATGCCTGAAAAATTCTTTTTAATTGTACGCGAAATTTTTTAAACGAAAACACGGCATATGCATATATTTTACTTGGTGCATTTAACCAAGATATAGATTCTCATTTTTGAGAAATTCTATAAAACCCTCTTTACCCCCCTGAAGAGACGTAGACGAGAAAATTATCAATTTTTAAATAAATTAAAAATTTTTTAATATTATTATTTTTGAAAATTAAAGCAACTATTTTGTAGAACAATGTTTTCAGTTAAAATATTTCTATTTAACTTGTACAAGTTTTCTTCCTTGTACTTCTATTTATCTTGTACAAATTTTTATTTTTAGTTGGCGCAATGTTTTCATATCACTATTTTAGTAGATAATATGCACTGTAAAAAAATTTTGTGTAAAATTACACCTATTATTGTGGGTAATTTTAAGACCCACTATAATAGGTGTAAATTTCCACTCATTTGTAAATTTGCAGTATGCAAGTAAAATAAATTCTTTAATTTGTAATTAAGCAAATTACAGAAATAAATTAACAATAGCATGCAAAATTACAGAATAAGAAATGTAATAAAACTTCTTGAAATTGGAATACTAAACATTCAAATATTGAATTTACACAACAGAATGTAATAATACTTCACGCATTTCAGTTATTACAAATAAAAATATGAAATTTATGTTTTACGATTACAAGTTTACATTATTTTTGTAATAATATTATACAGGTTTGCGATATTACACTTTAAAATGTTATTTTTACAAAAATTATCAAAGAAAATTACTTGTAAGTAAAATTTTCAATACACTCTGTTGTGTACATTTACTATTAAAATATTAAATATTTTAACTTCAAAAAGTTTTATTACATTATTATTTTAATTTTACTTTTATGTAAATTCACTTCTGCAATCTGCTTAATTATTATTTAACTGGTATCACTAAGCTTGACGCTGAAAAAATAGATATATTTTCAATTTTTTTTTTTTGACGCTGATATTGGCATGACAAAGGCTTTTGCATACTTAAAACATATAAATTTTACTTGTAAGTTTCATTTATTGAAAAACTTATAAGTTTCATTTTTTGAAACAATATACTATATATAAAAGCCTGATTTTGTCAATACCAGCGTGAAAAAAAATATTGAAAATCGACCTATTTTTAAACGTCAAGCTTAATTGACACCCCTTATAACAAATAAATTTATTTATATACACTAGATGGCTGGAGAAATAAATATTTATGCTTTAAAATAATTCAATCATTTTCTACAATATTAATAATTGTTTTATTATAAAATGTTAAGTTTTATATTTACAATGTCAAGTTTTTTATAACGTTTCGATATTACGAATGTTGCATTATAAAAAAGAAAAAAAAAACAATGCAATCTCTTTTTAGTAAATATATCATCGTAAATCTATGTCTAAAGTATCTAACGATTTTTTTGTGGTGGATTATAATTGTCGCAAATAATATTGATTCTTTAATATTCATCGCAAGAAAAAAATAGTAATCATGTTATTGACATGTCAGAATATAAATGGAAAATTAAAAAAAAAAAAACGTGGTAAGTACGCAGTTTTCAAAATTTGCTCGAAATAAAAATCCAATATGTATCTAAAATGGACTTTACAAATCTCCCTACTTTTATCGCACGTTATATCTAAACTCAAATACGTACTTGTATCAAAAATCTTTGGAATATAATCTCATTATAGATCACTTAATAAAGCATAAAAGTACAATACGTATCTTAAATTATAAGCTCCTTTTATAATCATCTGAAAAGCAATGAGCTTTTTGTAAGTAATATATTAAATATCTTATGTCTAAATTATTGCCTGTTGATAATAACATATTGTTTAATCGAGTTGCCTCAACTTTTTAAGATTTCTCTCGTTTAAACATATTATCTTTGGAAATTGCATTTAATCCTAAAATCACGAAGTTGTAATACTGATGTACCCGCTAAATTGACTTAAATCACGCAATTTCCGAAATGCGCGTAAACTTTTTTTTCGCTTTAAATCGAAGTTGTTTTTTATCAGCATGGTTCTGCCGCATGACATGAATTATGAATTGTGCTCTATGCAGAATGTATTTTATTACGAAAAATTACATAGATAGGTTAAATTATAATATAAATAGAAAGAATGCGAGAAACCAACTGATAAAGTCAAATTTCGATCTCAACTTAAAATCGGTATTATAGCGTATCCATAAGGATACGCTTTCATTCATTGATACATTCGTATATCGTATATTTTTTCGGATTTTATATTTTATAGGATGCCGCAATGTATAGAACTTTATCAGTTTCTGAAACAAAAAACTATATTAATACAGATTATACAGATATAAAGTAAATATTTATATTCAATTTAATTCTAGAATTATTTAAGAACTCACAAATTAAAAAAAATATCCTCTTTTTTCATGAAAAAAATCGTAAGGAAATGATCTCTTAATTTTTATTTAAACCATGTATCCGTAATGATTCCTTTGACTGTATAGTCTATATAGTATTTGATAAAATGAATAAAATTTTTAAATTTTATTCTAATTAGAAAGTATAAATTAAAAAGTAACATATATAGCATATCGTAATGTACATAAATATCCCTTTCTGAAACTAAAAAAAAATAACACAGATTATAAAGTAAATATTTATATGCAATTTAATCCCAAACTTAAGAACTCACAGAAAAAAAATCTTCTTTTTTCATGAAAAAATGTCTTCATTTTAACCACGTATCCGAAATGTAACACCTTTGCAATCAATTGACAGTATTTATGATAAATTAAAAATTTATTTTTCTTAGAAACTAAACTAAAAAGTATATCATAGGATAGGAAGTATATCATAGGAAAAGTATATCATGCTATAATATATAGGATTTTTATCTTTTTCTGAAAGAAATAAAAATATTAATAAAGATTATAAAATGAAATAAAAATGTACCATAAAGATACAATGTGTGTATATGCCATTAATACAAATTTGATATAAATAACATAATAATGCTTACTGTTGTTGTACATACATATGTACATACACACTACACTATTTGTGTGTAGCAGTATTTTCTTTGTTCGACGTTTCTCTTAATTTATTAAAGAGTGATAATACTTTGTATTTTGTTGATATCCTACGAGATTTTGAACCAGCAAGTGGATGAATATTTAAAAAGTACTTTTGTAAAAATTCTAAAGTACATGTACAATTTATGGGATATTCCATGTTGAAAATGTAATATACGGACATCAACATTTTCAAAGCTTCATAAAAGCAAAATGTCCTCTCAATCAATACATTTTCTATATATAAATAAAACATTCGACATGCTGCGTCATCTGTAATAATATAATATACGATAATGAAAGCAATTACAAACATATAACAATAAAAATTTACTAAAGTTAAATTTAGTATAACTACATATAGTGAAATTACTTATGATTATGATGCATGGTGCCACAGTTGGTGGTTTTATATCCTGCAATGATGTTCCTTCCTGTTAAATAAGTTATATTCAGTATTAATTAAGTCTATGACATTCATATAAGCAAAATAAATATATTTAAAGAAAATATTTACAGGATATGTTTTAAATAATCCTTCAAAATCTTCTTTAAAATGTCTCATTATAATTTGTATCAATTTTATCTCTGTTGGATTATTAGAATCATTGATATCTTTATATTTTTTATGTTGTCCATAATTGAGAATTTTTTCTTGTTTTTTTATAATTTCTTCCTTTAGAAGATCTATAGAATGTCCCATTAGTTTTTCATAATGCCAAAACATAAATTTTTTTTGTAAAAGTATCGGCCACGTGGTTTTAATATTTTTGATACTAGGTATTTCATGAACATTGTTCAAAAATAATCTTTGCGCAGGATATGTAGCTTCAAGATAGGAATTAATTTTGTGTTGAATTTTAAGATCGTTTCTTGATGAATCATCGTCAACTATTTGACATAGAAATTTAGTCTTTTCTTCAATTGTTTCCTCTGTTTCTGTATCAATATATTTTTCTGGTTGCCAATTACTACATCCTGCTTTAGCGGATAATACTTTCTTTTGTTTTTTTATAGGTATATTTAAACTTTGGCTTAGACTTCTTTTCATATGTGGCCTATTTAAGTAACAATTTCGGTCTCGAAGTTTTAAATATGTGGTATGAAATCCATCGCCAAAACATGTACCATCTTCATTTATATCTTTAAAAGTTTGTGGGTATTTATTAACAATTTTTTCAGCTATTATTTTAAACGCTTTGGATGGTATAAATTCTTGAACGTTTCTCATTTCAGAAACGGTACGGTTCACAACTGCATTTATTACATATTTGCTGCGACTTCCATTTTGCAGTTCTTTAAGCACTGTTGGTTCTAAATTATTCCATGGTATTTGAAAATTTATCCAAAATTCAAGTTCTACTTGTTTATTATTTGATATTTCATTTATTGGAGATGAAATAGATAGCGAATTTGATGGCGAAAAAGTTTCCTCATTTAAACTAGATGTGAGTGAAGCAGTATCAGAAGACATAACTGCAGTTTCATTTTGTACAGACCAGGATTCTTCTGGTCGTAGTAACATTAAAATTTCACCGGAACAAAATTTTAGAACCTCATTGTCATCAATTATTGTGCCATCTTTCTCTATGACAAGAACAGAACCAACAATTCCAAGTTTAATATTACTTTTTGTAATAAGATCTGTTAGCATATCATCTGATTCACGAAGTATAAGTGATATTTTATTTTTTCTATCGGCAGACCAGACTTTATAGAGATACGACATCTAAAATAAAGAAACATATATATACATGCATAATGTAACAATTTACGTTGAAGTATAAATTGCTTACATCATTTGAAGATCCAAATTTATGAATCAAGAGGTGCATACTTGAAGACATATACAGGAATAGAATTTAAATTAGTTTCCAGGATAGGATGTGGTGCAAGTAAGGAAGTGTATGGGAACAACAACATTTTCTCTACATTGCAATCTAGACCTTTCAATTCGAACTGTTCATATATGCCAAAATCAGGATTATATGTAATTTTTGTTATGGTACCTAAAAAATAAATGTTTGTATAGCAGTTATTTATCAAAATGTATTTAATTTTACATAGAGTGAAATAATCAAAACAATCTTTACCTACACAGATACACATATTTTTTTTATATGTTATACCTTTAAAAGTAACTTGTGAGGATATGTACTTTATATTTTCATTTTCTCTTTTATGAAAATAATCTGTTATAATGAAAGAAATTTGATCATTAAAGTTTTGAGAAATATATTCTTGTGCATCATCTGCTATTACTAAAGTACGATAATTATTATTGAAATATTGATTTTGCAAAAATTGATGTTTGTGTGATAATAATTTAATTACGTTCTTAAAATTTTGGGAATGTTTAACAATGTTTTTAAAATACCTATGTTTGCTTTCAAACCTCAAGGTCCATAAGTGTTTCAATGGACCAAAACATGTAGTTAAAATGGGATAATGAGAAATATAATGATGCTTCGGCCTTAATTTGATACTTGGAAAACATTTTACTCTCAATGATAAGTAATCATTTATCTTTTCTTGTAATAACGCAATCTGACCAAAGGACAAAGCAGGAGCACAAATTAAAGAACATATTTCTCGAAGATATAACATTAATATCCAAACATCATCCTTAATATTCTTAACTACATCAAAGATTGCTAAGGGAAATATTAATAATATTTTTCTGATTTGACTTGCAGTGCCTGCAATTTTAGTTGAATCTCTTATAAGAGGAATACAATTACGTACATTTTCGTACAAAAACTTCATTTTTTGCAATCTATAATTTAGAAATTGATAAGGAAACCAACCTTCTTTCACAAAATATTTTATACAATATATAAGATCATATGAAACGATTCCTTCAAAAAGATCATGTGCTATGCAGGGTGGTAATCCTGGATTACAAATGTGAAAATAATTAAGTTTATTCAGAGGCGAATCATTTTTTATTCCTTTTACAGCTTTCATGATATTTTTTGCTTGTGTGACACACAAATTGTAATTATCTGAATTTCTGTTTATATTAGTACATGCATACTTTGATTGGAATTCATTTTGAGTTATATCACAAAAACGACAAAAATATTCAGAATTAAAATTTTCGGTAAAACCACCAATTTGATGGCTTCCTAAATTATCTCCCAACATAGCAACAACAGTGCCAACAAAATTTATTGTTTTATTATCAACATTAATATCTATTCCTCCATTTTCTAAACATTTTAAATCATTTATAAGATATTCCATTATTTTTTCCCAACCAAAAAATGTTACATGTTTTTCATAGCATAACATAACAAGCTGTATATTATCAACTTTTGATCTGAGATAAGGGGGTAAATTTCCTAGCACCATATATACGCCAACAAGTTTAAATTTTTTTTTGGCTGAACCCAAAGGATTACATATTTCAAATGCATCTTGATACAATAAAATTTGTAATGTATATTTATTATTACGAAAGAAATTATTGTTTTTTATTACACTACCATCTTTAATATCAAAGAGCGCATTACTATTATAAATCTGAAATAAATTTAAACAAAAGTGTTGAATATCAGAATTTTGTAATAAAACCTTAATAGTTTTGATAATTGGAATATAATAATAAAAACATTGTTTGTGATTGTTATCAATTCCTAAATTAATTTGTACAGGCATCACAATGTGAAAATTTTGTTGAAAATATATATTTCTTGAATACGTATTTCGAAGACTACCATTAATGGAATTATGAATATTTTCAAAAAAAGAATAACTGTGTTGAAACATATCTTTAATTTTATCTTTTATATCATCTTGAATATCACTTTCATTTAAAGACTTAATAAAGTGTTCATGAATAAGTTTCGGTATAGATGACATACCATCTATTACAGCTTGTAGAGCAAATTCTGTTAGAAAATATTTTGCAGTCAAATTTAAATATAATTGTGAAATAGCTTTTTTAGTATTTTCTATATCATCAAAAACTTGATTTGAAGTTATCTCTTGAGAAACAAGATTGAAATTGTTACTCACATCAAAATTAAATTCTTCGTTATTAACAATAAACTGCTTATCAAAATTGTTTTCATTATTATTATATGAATGATGTCTACATATGTGCACTGCATAATTATTGACTGTCTTGAAAATTGTGTTATTTAGAAGACAAGATCGATATCCACAACAAATCCCAATTTTACTTTGCCTAATATGATTATATAAATGTTTATGAAAATCTACTGTATTTGTAAAATAATTGTTACAGTTTTTTTCTTTGCAACAATAAGTAACACATGTTCTTTCTTTATAATTTTTGGTGTGGCATCTAAGAATATGTTTTTTAAAATTAACATATTTATTAAAATGTTGCCCACAGTTTTTGAACAGACAAATAATTTTTAAATAAGGCATGTTTTTATGAAAAATTTGATGCTTGTTATACAAAAGAATGGATGAAAATGTACTGTTGCACATTACACATTTGAACATTGTTCAATATTTAATCTTCAAATAAATAAATAAAGAAATTTATAATTGTGTAGGAAGGAGTTTGTGTGAAAGGAGAAATAAAACTGGACTGAGATAGGATTCATATAAGGATATTTCCTTTCAAAGTAGTAACTGCAACATATTTCATATGAAGAATTATTGAAAAAAGGAAAATAAAACTGAATGTCACAAGTCACAAGTGAATGATATTACAATGACAATTATAACATTTGTATGTTGCACATGTTTTGAAATCAATTAATAAAACATATCATATTATGATCTTACCTTGTCCTTGGTAAATTTTTTTTGTAGACTCACTCAACTGTTTGGAATGTTGCTTTAGAAAACGTTGTATGAGGAAATAAACAGAACGAAGTTAATAGTTAGAGATGATCTGCTCAAGGTCATTAGAAGAATCCTCTTTCTTTTATTATATATCACTGCAAATTTTAAGTTAAAAATATGTCAGATTACATAGCACAAACTTAGATTTTAACAAATTTAAAAATTAATATTTATAAAATTAAAAATACAAAATTATATGTATGTAAAACTGTGATTTTTCAAATAATTTTTACGATTGTAAGTTGAATTTATGTAAAAACGATAAAATTTTATTTAAAAAGCATGAAAGATTCTATTAATTTACAAATATATATGCAAAAAATTTTTTGTTTGAACATTACAATATAAAAAATAATGATATTATAAAGATTGAACGAAATTACAATGAACAGCTATTCTTTATAATGTATATGTTTCGAAACTAATTATTAAAATATTTTACTTACCTATCTTGTGAGACCAAAAGATTGCGTGATTGAACAAACAATAACGATTTAGGCAAATTGAACAAAGACGATAATCTCGATGAATGTTATACGGATGTTCTCTCTCTCACAGCAGAAATATATAAAAATTCACGCACTTCGGGATCCGGACAATCGGACAATGCTTAGGGCTAGAAAGTACAATGGCTAATGGCTGATGCAATATGCAATCACGCACGAACACGAACTGGCAGCTTTCCGATCGTCATTTCGACGGTTTAGCCAATTCATTACTAGTACGTCAGACTTATAACACGCATGCGACAGCGCTGCTTACGCGATCGCTAACAATCAACTACGAGTAGCTGCTGCGCGCCTATCTCGAGATATAAGGTCTGTTCTTTTTAGCTGAACTGACTGCACTAGTTCAGAGTTTGTCTTTCTCCTTTCTATATGGAGAAGAAAAGATAAACTCTGAGCTAGTACAGCCAGTTCAGCTAAAAAGAACAAATCCATTAATGCCATCACATCGCGCATATTCTGCAGCGAGATATTACCATTATATTTTGGTAATATTACAAAAATTAGGATAATTACATAAAATATTTGAAATATTATATTATTTATGTAATTTTCCATATAAAATAAGATATATTTACACAATAATAGACAAATCTACATAATTTTTGTAAAATTACAAAATTTCTGTAAAATAATATAACTTTTTTAAAATTACATGATTTTGTGTATTTACTGCATTATTTATGTAATTTTTACGTCTATTATTTGTGTAAATTTACCGACTTTTTTTACAGTGTGACAGTTGGATATATTTAATGCATGAACTTGGCGCCCTTTTTTTAAAAAGGTAAGTTTTTGAGGATTATATAGAACACACACACACACACACACACACGCACACGCACACGCACACGCACACACACTTTGTATATGCCTATGTACTCTAATATCATTTTTTTGGATGTATATATCTTCTATTTTTATGTATTGATATACATCGGTAACTGCTTTTTATTTTTTTTCATTTTTTTTTCAAATATTAGTTGCTAAATATTTTTAGCAACAAATTGCTAGTAGTGCAATCTCACATCATAGATGTGGCAGACTGGACACAGAAAATTATTGCTAATAATGCAACCTCACATCATAGATGTAACAGGCTGGTCAAAAAAATGATTGCTAATAGTGCAATTTCACATCACAGATGTGGCAGGATGGACACAGAAGATGATTCCTGCTTTTGCCAATTGGGGAAAGGCTGTGTATAAATCAAGAGTCGAAATTAGAAGAATACAGATCTGAGAAATTTTTACAATTTTCGCAAATCCATCTTGTTATTCTTCATAAAGCTCTTTTAAATCGGTTTATAATTAATATATCGGTGGCTATTTTATTTTTTTTCATTATTTTTCAATAGTAGATAATGAATATTTTTTTAAGACAAATTGCTAGTAGTCTAAGATTAACAATCCGGAGACTTTTACAAATCACTTTTACAAAAATGCAGGTTAATATTATTATAATTCAAAGTATATATATATATATATATATATATATATATATATATATATACAAATATGTATGTATAATATATATATTTATACAAACATGTAAAATTCGAAAGAACAAATTTTCACATATCATATAATGTTAAATTAGTGGTGCACAATATTTATAGTTATAACAATATAGTTAACTTTAAAATTGTAAATTAAATAATTTTTAAAAATGTAAAAAAAAATTTTTATAAACATGTAAAAAATAATATTGAAACTGTTCTTTTTATACCAGGCAATTTTTTTACTAAACATTATTTTGTGTGTAAAATTATAAATTAAAATAAAACATATCTTTGTTTAGAGGAAAGTATTCTCTATATTATTTAAAAGTAATATGTAATTTCCTTTTTAATATAAATTTGAGATAAATTTATGTATTATATTGAGTAAAACATAAATTCTCTAAATTTTTTGGAGTGACATTCCATTCGAAATTAATAAGACTTTGAAGCAATACAGGGTGTGTCCCAAAAGTCATGAAATATATATTTTTTAAAAAGATTTATTGACAATATCGGTACAAATTGTTAATATTCTTCAAAGTACTTTCCACGAGCATCTACACATTTTTTCCATCGACTCTCTCATGCCCGGTACGCCCTCTCGAAGGCCTCGACGGGAATCTCTTTTAAAGCTGTTGTCACGGCCGCTTGGATAGCGTCAATGCTGTCAAAATGGCGTCCTTTGAGTGTGGTCTTGATCCTCGGGAACAAAAAAAAGTTCTAGATCGGGACTGTAGGGTGGCTGTGGCAGCGTTACCACGTTGTGCTTCGCCAGAAACTCACGGACGCGCAGAGACGTGTGGCTGGACGCATTGTCATGATGCAGCAAGTAGCGATGTTTTTTCGCACGCGGATGACCCTTTTTTGTCGAGTTTTGTGCAAAATTTGATCGCCCAACGTTGTTCGAAAGTATCCCCCATCGCGCGTCGTGACGTGGTCTTGAAACAAGGTTGCACTAAATTAGCTATTCTGATTCTTCTGATTCTCGCAGCAGACTGACCGTTGGTGCGCTGTGAAGCTAAGGGTCCCCCTACTTCACCCAACCGGTTCGAACACGCTGCGACCAGTAGGGATGCGACAAAAAAATATATTTCATGACTTTTGGGATACACCCTGTAGTAATAATATTACTATTACGAAGTGACCTTTCATTTTTTTATAAAAATAAATATTTAATCACATTTATAGAGAAAATTTGCAATTCATATAAATAAATGTTTCAAATTACAATTACAATGAATTTTTCATTCCTTTTCGAATAAATTCTGAATTATATAATATCTAGTGTGGAAAAATTCATTCACATAGTAAATAACATTTCAATAATTGTAAAATTTTTATTCCATAGGACTAAAAAGTCACTCTGTTTTGAGTAACACGGATACCAAACTTTATTTTTCAAATAAAATTTTAGTTTCTAAGAAATTTAGAGAAAAAAACGAACAAATGAAACATTTAATATTTTGGCCATAATAATATGAGTATACAAAGTTTAAAAAGTGTTACAGATAAAAATCAGGACCCCGTGGTTCGCTCCCACAGTATTTAATGACTCTAAACCTTTTTTACCTGTGTGTGTGTGTGTGTGTGTGTGTGTGTGTGTGTGTGTGTATGCGTATACATTGTAATGTTAATACACGTGTGTACCAGAGATCAGAAGAGTTCCCTATTCAGCTAATGTAAGACTGAACATGCAATTAAAAATATTTATAATATGAAATTTTTTTGGTTTTTGTTGATAACACGTTTCATATAATGAAAACAAAATAAATGACGTTTCTCGTTAAATATATTAATCCTGAAACTTTAGATATTCGAATGCAATTAGTAAAATTAATTGATATCGAAGCCAAGATTGTAGCGCAGAAAAATTATTTAAAGCTTTTGAATTAGAAATGACTAAACTTCCATTCAGATTCCATTTGTAAATATTATTGCTTTGTCATGCGATAATGCTTCTGTCATGACAGGAAAACATTTATCTTTTAAAAAAATCTCGAATCAGGAAAACATTTATCTTTTAAAAAAAATCTCGAATCAAAATGCAAAAATTTATTAACATTTGCATGTCCTTGTCATTCTGCTGCGTTAGCTGCACACGCTGCATGCGCTAAAATACCTGAATGTTGTGAAGAATTTCTGAGAAAAATTGCAAGTATATTAATAGCAGTCTAAAACGTTTAGCTATTTTTAATGAATTTTTGGCATCAGTCTAGAGATTTTCTTTATTTTTTTTATGACACGCAGAATCCGTATGCCTGCAAACACGCGATGAACAAGAAAAAGTTTTATTACATATACTACAAAAATAAAGAGTGTCATCCGTGGAGGGGATTGCCCGATTAGACACAGTACGATTAGACACAGCCAATCATATCGACCGATGTCTAGGGTAACCAGCACGATCAAGCACGATTAGCCAATCAAAGTCAGTTGTGTTCAATTGTACTGTGTCTAATCGGAGGTGTCTCTCCGTGGATACTTGGCAAATCCAAGATTTATAGCAATCATCGCTAAGCCAAGCTGACGAGAATTTTTGTTTTGACTTTTTCTTCAGTTCATTGCATGTTTCCATATTGATTAAAAAATTAATAGAGAACAGAGAAATAGATAAGAGAGAAGTGACAAAGATTGCAGAAAAACGAAGACGAAGAAAGAAAAGAAAGACGTAAGTAAAGAGAAAGAGAAGGAAAGAAAAGCAAAAAAATATAGAAAAGAACTTAAAGAATAAAAACGGAAATTGGAAAAATGAGAAAAAGTACCGTGGAAAGTTTGAAGAAGAGAACTCTTTGATCGTCTCGATATCACGCACGTGCAAGCGGCTTGGTAGCGAAACGCAGTTTAACGTGCAACAAGTAACAATTGCGCATCTCAGAAAACAAATACGCGCGATGCGCGACACGCGACAGAAAGAAAAAGTAAGTCGTCACTACGTTTTATGTACACGTTTTTATGTATTTTAAAAAATCGGATATTTAAATATTCGGAAGAAAAATCGGTTTACACTTTCATTTTGAAAAAGTATGAAAACTAATGCTTAATTAAATTTTGCACAAAAATGCATTAAATCAATTTATATGAACCAAATAAAAATTAAATCTAAATATTCATATGCTGGCATGTATATGTATATATGCAAGTTGTGTATGTATATGTGTGTGTGTGTGTGTGTATACACACACACACGATTTGCAAAATCCAGTCAATTTGCTTCTGATATATATTACATAACATTAGATCGGCATACTCATTTCTCATTAAAAAAAAATAAAATAGAAAACAATAAAACAATAAAATAACAAAAGAGTTACCTTTAAAATTGTTCTATTATAGGAATAAAAAATATAAATATACTTATTATAAATATGTATTTATACAATTGACGTTATAAAATTGTATTTTTTAAATTATTTTAAATAAGACATTCCCCTTTTAAATATATAAGATATTTCTCAATAAAATCATAAAGTCCTATTGTTTTTAATGTCCATTGTGTATAAAACATGTGTTTAAAATACATATATTATTTTTATCAAGTGATTACACATGTAATGCGCGATATATAAAATTAATTATATTTATTTCTTAAGAGAAAAACGTACACGTTGGCCAAGAGTGGATTTTTATAATTTATTCTTTTTTCATCCTTTATTATTAAATATTTATTTAATTAATTTATTTAAATTTTGACAGGATTAAGGATTTATTAAATTTTACGCGCAAATTTTACAAGTTTTCACACGAGACCTCATAAATAGATCGAACCGCTAACATAGGATTCTCGAGACGTTAGCTATAGCTACAGCACGAGAGAGAAGGAGACAGTAGATTATACGTTGGCGCTCCTCTACTCTATCCGAAG